GTAGCTACAAAGAGGTTGAAGGAGAATGGACCTCTTGTGGCAGACTTCAGGAGAACTTATCTCACCTTCTTCATACATAAAAGAAAGGCTTTGGATAAACATCAGTACTCAGCCACCTTAACCTTCTGCCCACACCACACATGAGCAGGCCATGAATCCAAATGAAACAACCCCTGGGCTTCACACACTATCACAAAGAGATCCAGGTGCCCCTTGCACCAGCCTGAGGGACAGGAACCTGCCCAGGAGCAACACCTAAGCAGGAGTCCCACTAACTCTCCATGATGGAGTGTCAGTCAGGACTGCAATAATTCCAGTGCTCAGTTCTGGTGAATCCTTGAGGCAAAGAGGAACCAGTAAACAGTTTAGCAATCTTCATAACCCAGGAAACAACCTGCTAGGGCCAAAGTATGCTAAGCAGGGGACACTTCTGGCAGGGACTCATTCTAAGTCCAGCACTCAGCTTGGTACCAGAGAAACTCAGCTTCACGAGGTAACAATGCTTCACAAATTCTCAACTCAGCCCTGCTCCCTTCCCAGAGCCACAGGAAGGAACCAAAGAAATCAGCTTTATCACAGCTCTTCACGGATGCCTGAGGAATCCTCCCCTCACTAACCTCTAACAGCAGCACTGATCTTGGCCGATCTATTTTGTTTCCCAGTCCCTTCACCTCTCCAGACAGCCCATCCAAGAGCACATTCCTGGCCAGATAAACTCAGTCAGGCTGTCTAGGTTTCCTGCAGGTCATTGAGAAGCGATCACCTTTGGGATTCACTTGTGTGGCCAACAGCGCAGGGCACTTTCTGGTTTTCATTTGCCAACTAAGCTCAAAGCCTCCATTAATCTTATTGCTACATATGGAAAAAGTACCCATATGGATTTATTTTGTTGCCACCTATTGTACTGACCTGTCCTGTGGCTTTCTCTGGACACACAGCTCTGGTCACAGATGCTGAAATGTAGTGAAGCCTCTCTTGGGTGCCTACAGGATACTGGGAAGAGGTGAGTGCAAGAATCCTTCCTGACAGGACAGAAGGGATCCAGCTGTCTGGAGGCTGAGGAACATGCATGGCCAGTGCCACATTTTAGAAGCAGTTGCTACCCAGATATACCAGGTACAGCACAGACACAGCCAAATTCTCCTCTCCAACTCCTCAGGTATTTCATACATCACCATTTCTTGTTACACTCAACAGGACACAAAGAGCTCTCCCGCAACCTGACTGAAGTTTAAGGCATTGATACCGTGTGATGATTCAAAACAAAGGTAAAACACCCTCAGTGTTTAACACTAATGAGAAATCTGATAAACCCAAGGTGTTTCTCAGGGCCAAGCACCCACTCAGTGCCTGCTCTGCTTCAAATAGGAGCTGTGAGGACACTCCTCTGAGCATTTAAAGATTAAATTAAGTAATCAGATATAAAATCAAGGGAGAATGTAAACAGAGTATCACTAGTCTTCACTGATGACTGGAGGCAATGTGAAAACAGAAGATTTAGTGAGTTAGCCCGAAAGAGCAAACTAAGTCTGCAGGACAGGGCAGTGTAAGGACTGTGCACCTCTCAGGCTCCTGGGTCCTCCATAGAGGGCCAAGTTGCATCCTGTGTGGCCACTGACCACGTTCCCACATTTCACATATTCGCATAAATAAAGCTTTCTCTGCTTTATTTGTGACTTTATTATTATGACTGTCTCCCAGCAAACACACTCCAGTACATGCTGTAAAAAATAATGTAATCTTAGAAGACTTCCTGCAGCATCTGCTATGAGCTGCTGGCTGAGGCAGGGGAAGAAACTGCACAGTTTTGGCCATGCACTAAGGGGTGTGTAGTCTAGTAAACTGCAGATTAGCGAGGCTTGACTGTTATCTTAATTTACAGCCCATATAGTTCATGTTAACTCTACACACATTTTTAGGTATATTAGCAGCTTAGTTTGACCCAGATACTTTTATTGGTTATTCACCATTTCTCCTTGACAAGTTATTACTGACTTCCCATTCTAGCTCCCTACAGCAAGACCTGAAGCCCTGTCAAGGAAAAGAAAATGTCAACAGACTCCTCAGCAGTGCTCAGAGCAGCTCAGGCTCCCACTCACCAGCTTTAAATTGCTACTAGGCAATCATTAAAGCTTCTATGCAAGCTGCGATTATGGTGTTATAAAAAGCAGCAACCAGAGCCAAATGTAATTCAGGAAAATCACCACTTCCATCTGAATATCCAAACCCATCTCCCTTTGGTCAGTGCAGAGAGCTGCTCAGGAAGGCCTTTTCTGATCAAGGCTCGGCAGTTAAGTCTGGACAGTCACGCAGAAATTCCCCATTCCTTCTGCTCCGATACCCTGTCTAGTTGATAACATTTTCACACAGCATTTTGAAAGGCTGCTGTTACTGCTCCTGCATTTGCCCTAATGAACAAGGAATTCTGTTGATGCAGAGCAGCTGTCATTCTCCTTCTGCTAACACAGCACCCGAATGCACCTCATCACTGCTCATCAAGACAAGCAGCTCCAACACCAGTCTGCAGCACATTACAATACATTAATTCCTGTAATGACTCCAAACAACAAGAAGAATGCCAGGTCTTGACCTGGGTGGGTTCTACAGAATTACCTCAGCTAGAGATTAAGGCCATACAGTGATGATAAAGTCTGACCCACTAGCCCCAGTGTCACATACTGTATAGCCCTGTGACAAATCCCATGTGCAATTCCCATTGAGCTGACAACCAACACACGCACCTCAGTCTAAGCCACCATTCACTCTAGGGACGGTTTTTGTTTGTGACACACACTGACCTCAATTTACAGGGAGGTCAAAATGATACAGCCCATAGTCTGCACTAATAAAATAAATCACATCAGATGACAGCTGCTCCTCCCCAGCACCTTTCATTATGTTCTGCAAAATTTTGTTGCCCTAAGTTAAGAACAGAAAAAAACTCCAGGATCCCTTCTATTCTCTGCTTAACACATTTACTTGCCATTCTTCATTATGCAAAGGCTTTTAAAAGTTTTGTTTTTTTTTTTTTTTGCAGCCTCATGAAAAGCCTCCAAATTGTTTACATGCCAATGTTTGGTGTGTAGCTTAGAGTACAAAGACTAAGCTGATCTCATTTTGCCTTGGTGGGAAGTTAATTTTCCTTGTGTTTTTACAAAAGGAAGAAACAATTAGCGGTTCTGAGGAGAGGCTTACACCACACATTTCCTAAACAGATTTGGTTTCTAAATAAAAGGAAGTGTTTAACAGGTTATATCAGCATTAAGATTTAAAAACTCCTGGGATCAGGTTTACTCTCCCCTTATTTATTCTCAGCACTAGTATTTGTGCCTTTAATCAAAATTCCTCTCCCAGAAAATACATACATCCACACTTGGCCCCTTGACATTCATGCCTATGGCAAAATTATTTGCACGTTTTCCTTATTGCATAATTGTCTCATTAGCACTGCAAAAAGAAGGTGATGACTTTTCCCTCTGTGCCATCAGCCTAATCCAAGAGCAACCCTGACCGGTGCTGCAGGAGCAAAATTTGCCTTTTCTAAAATAGAAGGGGACTCTGAACTTCTGAGGTGGCACTGGAAATTGAATTATAGCACTTGAGTGCTGGCATTTACTCGCAACCCTCAAGGAAGATTAAACCAGTAGGTCAGGCTGGAGCTTTCCTCTCCTTTGCTAAACATAAACATTCATATTCAAATTGCTTTTGGATATATTCAAATCAATAAAAAATTCTGGATGATGGTCAATAGGGCAAAAAACAACGCCAACTTTTTAAATACACAGATGTAGTATATACATTTACCATGAAGCCTGGCTTAAACACAGCAGTATTTACTTTATACTGTTCAGAAACGTGGCTTGGCGACTAAAATTAATAAAATTCGTCTGGAGGACAGCATAAGCTTTCTAAGAGCTCTTTCAGCTTTAACTTATGCCCCAGTTTTTGCTTTTTTTTTTTTCTTTTTCTTCAAAATCTCGATCTATGCAGTAGCACGCCTGTCCCAGTGGCACAGCAAGGCCATGGAGCCAGCATTCCTTCCAGGGCTCACGGGTCTGAGTGTTTTGGGAAGCCTGTTGATGGATCAGATCTAGAAGAGGGACTGGTTTGGCTGAACAAACAAACAGCAGGTCTTCTCTTCACAATGGCCAGCTCTGTGTGTGTCCATGTGTGTGCACGCACGCGTGTAATCCCCCTTCCTGCCCTCCTCTGCAAACCTCTCCCACCTGGCATGGGGAAGGCTTCTTTAGGGTTACACTATCAACCTCCTACGCAGATGTACATCTTATCAACACATCTGACAAGATGGTACCTTTAAATTGAAATTCTCACTGTTTTGTTCTACTATAAAACTGGGAATGGGGTCATGGAGGGAACCCCCTGGCTACATTTGAAGTGCACATCCAAATACATCATGAAGCGTTATGAGGAGGCACCTAGTTGAGTTCATCTTGATGTACAATGCCATGCACTCGAGACAGCTGCTCTGCCAAGCTCTGACTTCCACACCCTGGCTGTGTGAGTAAGCTATTAGTTGGGTTTCAGAAAGCTAAGATAGAACCCTAATAAATCCTGTAAGAGGGCAAGAAATAGTCTAGGTAGTTGATTGCTATCCTGTGTTATTCTGCCATAAGAAGGCAAATAAGCATTTTTAGCTACAAACTGTGTTGCAATCAAAAATTTTACACCGAATGGTCTGTTGAAAATTTCAGCCAAATTAATTAACAGTGAATACTACAAGGAGTAAAGTCTGCATGCAGTCGTGTGCACTTGGACTGTGTGTAACTAAACAGGAAATCTCAGCACCCCGTTCCAATTAAGCAAAGGTTGATTTCTCATGGAACATAAATTTTCTACTTTTCCCTCAGAACAACCTTATGCTGATGTTTTCAATAGTGGTAAAACATTGTTTTTAATTTCACACCTCACATAGCACAGTCAAACGCTTCATAACAACATAAACAAAACGTTAGGCAGAGCTTTGCGACTGAAGTCAAACAATGATTTCCCCCCCACAATATGCACTCAAGGTTTGCAGGGAGAATACAGAAACTTCTTGGCTAAGGCCACAGAAATGAGTTCTCTGGTGTTTTGGCTGCTGCTGGCAGACCTAGTCATGAATGTGTTAACAGTGGATGCATTGATCCAAATCCCATTATTCCCACCACACATCAAGTAAAGAATAATTTATTCTATTTCTGTTCTTCTTTTGGTTGTATCGTAGGATCGAACAACTTGTGACTGGGAAACAACACCGTGTTCTTCTTGAGAAAATGCATACCCATCTGAAAAAGCAGAAGAAGAAAAAAGAAATCAGTCACTGGAGTTGAGCTCAAGAGCACAGACCACTTTTAGAAACAGTTCTAGGCATCACAGAAGTTATGTGATTGAGACTACAGCAATCTTAATTTCTGTGCTGTGCTTCTGACGCTTAGAGCTGCGCACTGCATTGCCCACGTGGCACAGAAAGGGTGCCTGCTGCCAGCTCTGTCCCTCTGCTCCCCTCCCCAGGCCAGGACAGTGCACACAGTCACCAATGCCCTCTGAGTTAACCTAATCAGCTACAGATTGATTTGAACACACTCCCATAGTACTCCCATAGTGGCAGAGCTTCTCTGAAGACTTAACAGAGAAGTAGAGATTTGCATTCCAGCTTGACTCCTCTGAAGTCTGCTTGATACCAGCAGTTACTCTGGAGAAAGGTGGGAATGTCTAGCCCACAACCAGATTTTTCTCACATCTTCCTCTTAACTCCCCTCAGATTTTTTTTAACAGTTTTTCAAGTGAAATCTGATGAATGACACCAAGAAACTCTTGATTCTCTCAGCCAGTCACTTATATTTTGCATAGAGCAAACACACATTCTGGAGGTGTCTATTTTGTTAATCCTGCTAGCTAGCACAATCCTGTGGTCTCCCTTGAAACTACTCAGAAGAAAATAACCATGTGCCTGATTTCTTTTAAAGTACTGTGGACAGGCAAGTGACGTTTTTTGTAGCATCTGCAGAACACCACAATGCTGATAAAACAGTCACAAATAGCTAAAGGGCCAACATGATGAAACAGCAGACAGATTTGCAGATGTGACCCCACAGAAAATTCTGAATGGAGAACTATAGCAAAGGAGAGGATATTTTTGACATCCTGAGTCACAAGTACAACAGGAAATCTTTGCCAGTAAGTGGAGGGGATTCAAACAGATCTACATTGCTCCAGTCACATATCCCTCATGGAAGTGACTGCAGGACAGCAGGAACCTTGATTTGATTACACGACCAATCATCCCAGCATCCCATTTCATTTTCCCTGAGCGGTTCCAAGCCAATATACATACTGCTACAGAGGCACAGGTTCGTTTTTCCTGCCTGTAGCTGAAGGTTCACAGAATACATTCATGAAGTGCAAACAGCCTTTTGGAAAAAAGTATGTCCGTACTGGATCATTGCAAAGGAAGTACGATGTACAAAACACGCTTTCATTTAAAAAAGGGTAGATTCACACTTAAACAAACACCTCCAGTGGGTTTGTTCCATGTGAAGGGCCAGCATCCTGTTAGCGTTTTTGGCTAAATTCTCCATGGATAAGTCAACTTGGTCAAAGACCACAAGCTTAAGCCCTAGAAGACTGAATCCCATGTCCCATTACCTGATTTGCATTGAGGTGGCTTTGCCATATTTACTTATCCATGAGATCATCCAGCATAATGGAGTCTTCAACTGCCATAACTACTGCAAATCCAGCACTGACCACACAAGTCAGTCCTGAGCGTCATCTTCCCATGACCTGCTTATTCCCAGTGCTGGCACAGGCCTGCAGACAGCCCAAGCACTCCGTAACGCCAATGCAAAACTCAATCAAAGGAACCTGTTCCCCACTCTCACACCAATAGAAAACACCTAAATACAGCAAGAAATTTCAGGCTAAGATCATCTGTGATTAAGAATACCAGGGGTATCCTTACATGTTCATGTCCCTCATCCATCCTGGACTACCAGAAACAAGGGTTTTGTGCGTATGTCATGGGAAAGGCTGTGACCCCCAAGCTTCTCAGTCGAAGCTCAACATTTGGCAGCTCATTTAAGACTTTTCCTGTAGACCTCTATACAGGAAGATGAGTTCGTATTACATTTTTCTATTCACATTACAATTAAAATTGAACTTCAAGCTGTTTAGGCAGCTGACTGTGCCTTGTGGAATCAAAATACTGCAAATGCTTGAGTCCCATCCTCACTCCCCAAGCAGCTCTACATTTCGACTGCTTCCGGACCCCATCCAAAAACAATGGAAGTTTCCATCTGTCAGTTACTAGGGAACTTTCCGGAAGTTTGAACTTTTCCCCCAACTCCAGTTCTAAAACCACACCTATGAGCCTGCCTTGGGAACAAGGCCCTTATTGTTCAGCTGTCCTGCAGCAGCCCAAGGAAAGAGCATGTTTCTTTGAGGCTTTCTGGGCACAACCCACTCACCCCCACAGAAGGAAGGACCTTTATACTCTGAGACTTTCTATTAGTGGAAGAAAGGGGCACTTTTGAATATCGTTCAGTGGGGCTCATTTGTTAAGAAGAGATTCACATTCTCATCAAATCTAAGGTTTCACTGGTACCAGATATTATCAGACAATCTACTGAATTTTAAAAGCATCCTGTTGGGTTTTCTTAAAGCTTTGATATTCTATGAGTAGATCCGAGTCTAGTCTCCCATTAGGTCTCTAATTTAACACACTCTTTTTCTGTTCACTGCAATGGCTGCTCTGGTCTGTGCAATGCTGGACTACAGCAACCATCTCCATGGGTGTGCCTCCAACACAAACGGCAACGTTGTGCAAGCTCAACAGCACTCTCACGGCAACAGCTTCCAAGACCAGGACCAGAAAGTGTCCAGAGGGCTCTTTTTATTCCAGAAGATCTCCTCATGGGAGGACTGCTTACAGTATTAGTCACTTCAGGAATTTATTTTAGAGGCCTTCTACTTATTGCACTCTCCCCTGATACACCCAAATTGTCTGCCCCAGGATTTGTTTAGGCCAGCCAGCAAGAGGGCAGCTGTCACTGGCAGCCCATCAGAACCCTTGCCTGCTGCAGCATTTCACTGGTTCGTGCTGCAGTGGCATTATGGTTTGATACAGTCCGAAGTATAAAATGCATCCTTTTGTTTGCCTTTGGAGAAAAATGCCCAGATGCAAATCCCCTAAAACTTTTAGGGGGTAGGGGAGATGTGAGCTACCTTTTATTTTTTTTAAAAATCTTTTAGGAAATATTGCTTCTTGGAAAGCAAAACTCTCTCTGACATAATGAAAATCAACATTGTGGTATCACTTGACCAGCCAAATTCTGTCTCAGGCGAAACATTTGGTTCTGCAGAGTTTTTAAGGAGATTTGCTGTGATGTTATAGTTCACATTTACCAGTTAAAAAGTGAATGCTAACTCAGCTTTGACTCAGCAACCATCTTCTATTTAACCAGGGAAAGGGAAAGCTGCCTAAAGTCTTGAACAGTTTGACTAATGCTTACTGAAGTAATTAATTTCTCTTCTGATAAACCATGCCTGTGTTTTCTTAAGGGCCCAAGAGGAATTCCTGACAAATGGTCCCATCTCTTAATCTCAGATACCAACTTACTGGTATTTCCAAGAAGAAAATAAGTGTCAGATGCCACAGCATCAAATTCTAAACCAATTATTCCTATTTCTTTTCCCAAAATTGGTATTAAAATATGCAATGCCACATAACAGTCAACAAATATGTAGCTTGGAAAAAATACAGAATGTATATTATATTTCAAACACAAGAAAGATAAGAGGAAAAAGAGTTTAAAAAGCATCTCAAGTAGCTCCCCTGTTGTTTTTCAAATAAAAATGCACTAGCAGAAAAGTGAAAGGAAGAAGGTGTCTGCTAGTGGAGAATAAATGGTGGGATTAGAGCCCTCAGCATGAACACATTATTATTATTTATTATTTGTCAGCCCCCATACTGTGAAACGAACCTCAGATGACAGGTGCTTTTTCTCCACTGATTAATAAGGTGCAAACCATATGCTCTGCATTCAGATTTACTCTCTGAAATCACCATATTCTGTCAAAGGAAGAAGGATTTTCCTTGCTAGCACAGGAAGCCTGGGCCAAGTGCAGTAATCCTCACTCAGGCATGGCTATTGGTGTTTCAGGGGGAGCTCTGCCAAAGCCCTGCTTCATGGGAGCAGACTCAGCTCTATTTTTAAAGAGCATATTGAGACAATTGATAACTAAACACCAGCAGGGGCGTTACAGGAGGGAAACCACCCTGGAAGGATGCTGTGGAACTTTCCTTGTGGATGAAGGGTACCCTTCCCATCCTCTGGGGGCACGGGTGATACAGGTCAGGCATGCAGGAGGAAAGGGGAGGTCAAGAGCCATCTTTTATATCTACAGAGTTTGTCTAAAGGAGGTGCTGCTCTCACAAAGTCACAGCAGTAAAAAAGACAGGAACCTGGATGGACACCTGGGGAAAACCTCACTGCCAGCAAACCCTCTGAGGGAGAGTTTTTGGATATCATTATTGCTCCTTCCCTCAAGGATGAGCCACACAGCAAGCTAAAGGGAAGGATCCAAAGACACATCTGAGAGGAACCTGGTAACATTTCCTGCTCATTCTTAAGACGTTTCAGAAAGCAGATGGCAACAGGGAATGACCAATTTCACCAGGCACCTTCACCAGGAGGTGAGCACCGCCTGGGGAGCAGTGTTGTCAGCACTGCCTACAAGATTGCACTGAGATGGTTTTATTTTAGCACCTGGGCTTGACAACCATATGCAACTCTTCCACTAAAGTCAGGAGCTTCACACTTCCTTCTTTTTTAAGTTTCCATAAACATCCCAGAAGTTATACTGGTAGAAAGGAACCACGTGATCTTTGACAGCACAGCCAGCAGACAGATTTCTTTCATGCTTCTGGCAGGTCTACACAATTCAGGAGCACAGAAACAAAGAGCAAGAAAATAAGCCATGAAGGTTTTACTTTAAGGACATATACCCTTCCAAATGGACAGGGCTACTCTCCAAGGCAGCCACTCTGAGCCAGTTTCTTTAATGAGAGGAGGTGTTTGACTAATCCTGGCTGGCACTCCCATGGCACTGGCTGTGCGGCTCTGTTGCCCACTTTGGGGGCTGGACCCACAAGAGTCTGGTGCTGCATGGAAGCACTCCAGCCACCCATCATACCTTAAGGTCTTATGTTTTGCTAATGCTTTTGGAGAAGGGCTGGCTCACCAACACAGAGCCAAGGAAACACACAGAGTGAGCTTCTGCCTCCTGTACAGGGCTGTGTAGCCTCACCTCAGTCAGCTCTTTGCTCCCACCATTGATCACCAGAAACTCCCTGTGAGATTTTTTTCCTTTCCATGTGACTGCAAACAAAGCTGTTTAGGCATTGCTTCCTCCCAAAACATTTGGAAATGGTTGCTGTCAAAAATAAAGCAATTTCCAACCCAGTACTGCATCTTTACAATCTGTGCTACGAAATTTAATCCCATTTCCATTCCTTGTTGGGACCAAGGCAATCCATTTGCTTAAGCTTTTGTCAGCTCTAACTAAACAAACCATTTTCCTGCTTTATATGTAAGCAATAGATTCTGAGTTGATGTCACAAAAGCAATTTTTGGTCTTCACAGCCTGGGAATTTAGGGCCTGGTGGAAACATATGAACAGTTGACTTCAAACAGAGTGCTTGTAGTGTGATTTAAGATACCAGCCTGGCATGTCAAGGCTACTGCCCTATTCATCAACTCTTTGCTTTGAAGATTTCTAGCATTTAGTAAACAGTTGTACAATTTAGGGTTGTGAAAACAGCACATATGTTCCCTGGATTTTACATGGCCTTGTACATATAGCAGCTATGCAACACTGGAAAATAATATTTGACAAGAGATGACAGAAGTCGTGGATACATAACAAAAATCATCTTTCAATCCTAACAGCTTCACAGTCAAAATTTATGTTCATGTGAAAAACAGATTGCTGATTGTAACCTGTTCTGACTGGCCTGACTCATTTAGCACTTAATCATCTGCATTTAAAGGGAAGCTGGTTATCCAAATTACAGTTTATTTTGATCTCATTTTTCTTTCCCAATAGCTGTTCACCTACTAACAACTTGATGATGTGCTCTTTGAGACTAAAAGCACATACTAAGTCTGACTAGTTACTTCCTGGTGTATCTCCTTTCTGCACTGCTTTACAGGTTTCATAGACTGTGGTAAGTTTCCACAGCAGACTATTTTGACAGCCATTTATTTGTGCATTTTATAGATTTTTTCTGCCAGTCATTGCTTGTGGAATCTCCTCAAAGAGCATGCTTGAATGCCCAAAGCCATGTTGCTATCAGCATCCCTGGCTCCTTTATACAAAGGATTAAATCCTTGCAGAAATGTGGTCCACAGGGCTGCTCTGCTCACTGGCCTCTCTCCCCAGACATAGTGGGATTGATTGCCAAAGACCCTACATTCCTTGACTTCCAATGGCTCTATCAAGGACAAAGACTACCAGATCCATCACTGTCCCACCCCTTCTAGTCCAATTTCCCATGGAAAACAAGAACACCTCAGCTATTATCCCATCCCTGCCTCCATGACCCGAGCCATAACAGTTCTGCTACAGAAGGAGACACAGCCAGCAATGAGATTTGACTCCTCTGTGATTCTTAAGCAGTCAGGGGTGTCACTTCTTACTGCAATGGCAATACAAACCCCAGATCCTGAGTCTGCCCCTTGCCCTGTGTGCAGCAGTACTGCACACTGAGAAAGATATTTTATTTAGTAAATAAGCCTACTGATACCACCAGGTTCATCACAAGAGAGACTGCATTTGCTCACTAGAAAGGGCTGACTGGACTCGCTGGTCCCTCAAGACAGCATGGTCCTTTGGTGCATCTGGCCTACAGAGCTGCTAGAGATGATTCTAAATACTGGGGAATTCTTTAAAACACTGACAAAAACCCATCAAGTCCCTCAGACAGAGGAAGACAAATAAATGGATGACTTCTATGTCAACAAGAAATGCCATTTATTTGAAACAGCAGTAGTAGCCAGTTGTGACGTTGCTTTTCTTCTCCCAGCAGCAGACAAAGAATTTCATACAGAAATAATTTCTATTAAAGCTAGGCTCTACCACAACGTTTACTTTACGCAGTTTTTGATTTTTAGACTATTCTTAAGACTATCAGAATTCTACCTTTAGAGAACCTGCATACTGGGATTCTCTCATTTGGGCCTGGTGATTGAATCCCAGGGAATTAACCACATTTGAGCTCCCCTTGCCTAGGGCCAGATACACTAATTCCACTTCCAAATGTACGTGTCTTGCTTGGCAGCTCAGCCTCGGCGCTAGATTATCTCTACCTACAATTTAATTAAAAAATAATCACCCTTGGCTTCCCTCATGTGGGGCTAGGCTGTGAAACACAGGCGGACGTGAGCCGCTACTTACGTGACACGCTTTGCTGGACAGAATGAGCACGGAAAAGGCTCGGAGGAGTTTTCCTGCCGAGCCTTTTTAACAAATGGTCACGTTCGTTCACGCTGAGGGAGACAGAAAGAGAGAAAACACACCAGTGAGTAACCAGGTAACTTCAAGGTAAAAGTCAACTGTATTTAAAGTACTTGGCAGCTTTGACTTTGTCAGTGCTAAAGGTGGTTGTAGCATGAAAAAGAATGTTCTCTTTCTTTAAACTGCACATTATCAAGAGAACTCCTCCTTTCTAAGGACACTTTGTATAAATCTACTTTTGGTCAATTCATCCCTAATATCACCATCATTGTGATTTCTGAATGTGTGATGCCTCTAAATTATCACAAACCATATCAGAAGTCTGACATCAAGTGATATGGAACATTAAGAAGATTTCTCTTTAGTATTATGCACATGAATCACAGCATCCACAAACTGCCTTAGAGAGAAGGAGCAAAGCATTGTCACTAAGCACAAGGTAGAAGGCTTCTATCACACCTGCAAAATGGCCTGAAGCAGCCAAAGGTAGGACCTATAGTTAATTCTGCCTTCTAAAGAATGCTCTCATTTTAACCTCCCATATGGAAAGAAAACTTGCTATCCAGTTTCTTGTACTAAAAACCTCTTTGGTTTACACAGTTCTTGTCAGAGGCCTGAAAAAAATTACTGCTGAATTTACAAAGAGTGAAAATACAAACTTAAGGTGAAAAACACAGTACACTTACAACAATAATTAGAGGCACTCTCCACTTTGATTTTTATAAAAAACAGAACATTAGTTTCATCAAGAACTTTATGTTTAAAAATTAAGTTTAAGTTTAAAAATTATGACTAAGATCCTGACCTTTCAAAGCACTTAATTATGTTTATGAGTCCAAGTAAGCTCAATGGGGTTTTAAAATAACGTAGGCCTTCAAATCTCATTGCACTGGAGCCTCAAGTAACTTAAATATCAGATTATTTTCAGAAAGGTATTAGAGTCTACTTTGGTTCAAAGTTCTCCACAACTGGTCTGTTTATTCCATCTCACCCTTATTCCTGACACTGAGATGGAGCTCGTGCACAGAAGGATCCGTTTGCTGGTACAGCTCCTTGCAGTGCCTTTATCCCATCTGCCCCACATTTACACTGTGTCTCCATTTTCCCAGCCTGCTTTTTCTTTCACATCTTCATTCACAAGGAGCAATTGCACTGATTATGCTGCAAACATGGATACACACCTGAATGCCAATGCTGGTATCTTTCTTGGGTTAGATTACAAATTCACATGCATTTGGTGTATGAAATGGAAATCCCAGCAAGCACAGCTGCTGCTGTCGACATGCTAACAACAGCTTTAAACAAACAACTCCCTTTCACTGAAGCAGTTTGCTAACTTCAATCAGGAAAGTAACTGAAGAATCTCTGAGATGCCTGGAATATGTAATCCAGCCATGCAGGCTTATATTCCACTTAATAGTCCATTAGGGTAATAGCCAGGCTCACAGTCCTCTGTACAGTGCATAATGAGGTGTCCACAAAAGACAGGGTGGAATCCTTCTCTTTTTCCTGTGATCCCCAAACTCACACATCTGAACTAGAAGCTTGTAAAACCTATGGACTCCTCCTCAAAATCTTTAGAAACTCTCAGCATTTTTGGACACTTGGTCTCTTCCTCTCCTTCCCCTGGCACCACAGAATCACACTTGCAAGGGGTATGACAGGTTGCTTTCCCTGCCTGGAGTCAGCAGTATTCCCTCAACATAAAACAAAAGTTGATAATAAATTTTGAAGCAAAAGTATTGATTCCAACTGAGTTTGTCGAATGAACTCTAACAACTCTTGGCTCAGGAGACCTGCATGTGTTCAAAGAAGAAAGGCTCAGAGGTTTCCATTAAAACTAGGGTTACAGCATGAAAGCTTCTAAAAATCTTGGAGGACCCAAGTGATTAAAAAAACCAAGATCAGTTGTTGGCTGTAAGAAAATCAAGTACATACAGAAAGAAGTTTCTACTGTTCCAAGCCTGTTCCAAGCAGGCAGCATGATGGAAAACACATACTACAAAGAACCACCAGGTAAGGGTGATGCAATGGAAGGCACAAAACAAGACACGAGACTTCTCTAACCTTTAACCTCCCTTGCTCAGGAAGCTGACAGCCTGCAGCACCAGCCACTACCAGTGCATGTGCAAACCAGTGCTGATGCACTGTACAACCTCCTGCTGACTGCAGAAGACTGCTGGGCAACTTTTCAGTTTAGTGAAACACTGTCTGAACACACTGCTGTCCTGTGAACGACAGAAGTACAATACTAGTTCACGTTCTGCAGGCAAAGAACACGTAGGAAGACTCTTTTCTATCTCAGTAGGAGGGTGTTTATAAAAAAGGATTCTTAAACCAATCAAAAATACTTGTTGTAAGGGACAAATAAGCAATATCTGCCACAAAATTCTTACCCTGAGAATGGAATTAACCACAGCAGAAAAGCTCACAAGGAAAAATTCTTCATCTGCTAGTCTACCATGCAGCAACAGATGAAGTGTAGACCAGTAATGCTTAGCCCCTCAGGCTTCTGCATTCAGTGTGTGGAGGAAAGCCTGCTGTCAAGGGACCTCTGAACAGGAGTGACACATTGCAGCTCTAAGAGTGCTGAAGCTACACTATCTTTGATATTGCTAATTATAATCAACAAGTTCAAAACTGAAGTCACATCTGATTTTCCCATTTGGGAAATGATATTGGATTGTATCTATGCAGAGAAAGGAAAACTCACAATAGAATTAGAGCATTTGTGGTTTAAGTATGAGGGATGACAAAATAGACTGCAAGTCAAGACCAGTCAAGTACTATAAAACAAATCTTTAATACACAGAAGGCAATGCAACACAGTTGCATGAATTGGATGAGTATTTGATTTACTTGCAGGTATCTTAGATCTCCCAGTAAAATCCCTGAAAGGAAAGTGAAGTGGCTTTCTCAGCTAGTAAGTGTTTGCACTCATACCAGTCCCTGCTTTCAGAAAAGCTTTCTGCCTGCTGCTAACAGGGAACAAAGTGGAGACTTCTCTGTCTGCCTCACACTTTGATGCAAAAGTAACGACCACACTGGCCTCACAGGCAACAGGTTAGGCCTTGCTCCCAGAAATACTGCTTGTAAATCAATCCCAAGCATTAGCCATGACTTTCAGATTTAATTCTGCTTTCTACTGATGCTGAGCCAGGGCCTAAACACTCCCACGGGGTCTAAGGATGGCATCTTCAGATGCACTGAGGCAAAAGGATAAGATGATGAGATCACACTGAATACTGGACAGTTGTGTTCGTATTCAGGAACTCAAAAATTTTGTCAGAATGGAAGAAGTCACAAACCCAGACATTCTTACGGAAGTCAGTGACATGGAAAGTGACAGTGAAATATGCTTTAGCTGCTTAGTCAGCGATCTCCGAGGGGGTAAGGGAGAGGCACCATCTATCTGTAATTATATGAAGGACAAAGGACACAGACAAAATGCTTTGAACTAAATAAATACTTGACTAGAACAAAAACTATTAAAAGGTCCCAATTCTGAGGGTTTCTGTGAAAAAAAAAAAAAGGATTTTAAAAAAAATCATTAGTCAAGTCAGCTAAAATCAGTTTTAGTTGCTATCAGTAGTGCAGAATACCTTAGGCCAGGAATACCTTTGTGATGGCTTCGTAAGAGAGTCAATGACTTCTGCCTGCCTGGAAGTCTGTGCTAGCAACATCACACAAATTCATTAAGTGAATGACAAATCAAAAGGTAAACTAAAGGCAACATGTTATTTCATAACAATGCTTTCAATTCCATGAATAAAACGACTCTTCCATCTTCCTATCTGAATTGCTCTAAGGTGTCAATGGAGACCTTCATTTTATTTTTGTATTCTCTTCTTCTTATCCCTCACAAAAGCAAACAGCCCTTAAATCTAGGCAACAAACATCTGGCTTTACACATTCAAATGAGATGCATCAAAACAAACAGAATAATTCAAAGCTGACCACAAGGTCCTGCTGTCTCATTTGCTCAAGTAATTAAAAAAAGATGAGCTTCACCACCAATTAATCTACTGAGCACTAATTAGCGTTAATGAGGATTTGGGCTATTTGGTATAGCTTGACCCAGACTGTCCTCCTGAGTCCATTAATTGACTGGTGGCAAAAGCAGGGATCACAAAGACCGGAAGGTTAAAGTGGATGCAGGTGTCTCTTAAAATTGGATCTTCCCTCAGAAAACACATGCACATCCCAGTTAAAAAAAAAAAAAATTAAAAAATTCAGAGCCCTCTTTCTCTTACAAAAGCTGAATTCTTGTTTGTATTTTGTTACAATTTGCTAGAGGAGATACAGAGGAGAAGCACACCAAATAGGCAAACACACTCAGTTGCCACTGGTTTTAACTCACTGCCCTTCTGGATTATGAAGAATTCAGTCAGATACAGACATTGGAAATTATTTGGTTTGTTTCTGCTTTTCCCCTTTCCAGTAGGAAGAACTGAGGTGCCTAGTGAAGCCTTACCAGGGCTGCTAGAGATAACACAACAAAAGCACACAAGCACATTTCCCAGCTGCCACCCCTGTGCCAAAAACATGCCAGGAACTCACAGCAGAAGCTTGGCTCTCCAGTGCCAGATACTCAGGGTCCGTGGGTAAGCCCAGAGGACAAGAAAGCTGCAGCTGTTTTCCCTATCATCTCAACACCTACAAAGCCCTCACTACACTGCCTGCAGGTGCAGCATCACTGCTTCTTCCACCCTACAGTGGTGCTGCAGCAGAAATCCACAGGTAAATAAATCATTGTACAGCTTGGTTTAAACCAGAAAATCCTCCAAGGCTTAGGCTGAAGTTCTGTCCTTAACTCCACAGCCTTCCTCCTACCCATATGTATTTTCAAAAGAAACAGCAGGTAAACCCTTGTTCAGTCTCTTTGCTTCACTGGCACACACTCTGCTAAAGACAGCCTGAGAAACTCTGGCTGGCTTGCATTATTCTCCTGTTGGAGGAAACATCTTGCAATGTGCTGCCCTCTCACTGCAACAGCAGGGACGGGAAAGAATGAGGGAGGGGAGAAGTTGTT